ATCATCTTCATCATCTTCATCATCAGAGCAGAAGCCACATTAGCAAGATGGATTCATGACTGAACGAACGGCCACATATTTTTATCATCTCTGTGGGTAACAGTACATAAAAAACATTTTTCCCTCTGAAAACACGGGTGTGAAAAAAGCTACGTTGTTAAACCTTCTCTGTGCGACGTGCACCAGGAAGGAGGGAGGAAGTGATCCTGAGACACGACTGTGAGATGTAACTTTTCTACAGCGGGAGGGAGGGGGACGTGTTGACGATTTATTCTCTCTTTACGTGTTTTAAAACGCCAAATTTCTTCATTTATTTTCAGATAGTTTTGAATAAATGGCCCTATAAAAAAATAAAAGAAATAGTTTACCTGCCCGGTCGGGCAGGCATTGGGACACACCCACCTGCCCGCATGCTTATACTGTAGGCACGGTATGACAGAAAATTTTAGTGGTTTTCAAACCGTAACTTTTTCATATCACGGTATACCTTGAAACTGGTATTCGGCCCATGCCAAGCTGCCATCCATGGTTTTCAGGGACATCCCTGCTTGTTTCAGCCACATTCTGCGTGTCAGACAGTCTGGTTTGTAGTACAAGAAATAAGGTTTGGTTTGTGTGAAGTTTGGAACATGTTGACTGCATTTGAAGTGCAGTGACTAAGCTTGTCCACTGTTCATGTTCATGCTGTGTCAGCTCATTGTTGAGGAAAGCTGTCTCAATTCATGGTCTGGGTCCTCATGAGCCCAGCTGTTCCCAAAGACTTATTGAGTGTTGTTAAWTGGAGGGCTGATGAACACATGGTAAACATGCCCGTCCAGCTGTTTTACAACATGTTGCAGCATCAAATCTAAAATGAGTGAATATTTGTCAAAAATACATCTGACAAAGTTCATCTGTTTGAACATTAAATATCTTGTCTTGTCTCTGTAGTGTATTCAGCTGAATATACATCGAAAAGGATTTGTAAATCATCATATTCTGTTTTTACTTGTTTTACACAACTTCACAATTTCAACCTGTTGTTTTCAGACAGTGGCTCATCTGATCTTTTTGGTCT